TTTGGGAATGAATGCAAGTGGATCGAAGACAAAGTTGTTTGATCGGTTGTGCTCGTATTTCAGCAGGGAACGCAAGAAGGACATGGAGCACATCAAACACAGTTTGCAGCAACAGATGCTTGGACCTCAGGCAAAGATCCAGACAACAGGTGCAGAGAAACCAGATGATCCAAAGGTCATTGAGCGTCATGAGGTGACTCATCTACCTTTTGCTCCGTGGTGCGATTCTTGTTTGAAAACGAAATCTCGTGAAGACAAGACAATTCGGAATACAGACGCTGCGGAGGAGGATTCAGGTGTTCCACACATTCAGATGGACTGGATGTATTTAGGCCGCAATTGCCCAGCATTGATCCTCTTGGATACGACAACAAGGAATGGGGCAATTTTTCCAGCAAGGAGCAAGGGTGTTTGGAGAGCTCTTGCAGAGTTTTGTGTGCGGTTTTCATTGGGACTCAATTATTTGAGCGAGGTGGTGTATGTGATGGATTCAGAGCCTGCGACTCTGGGACTACTGGACATGATAGTCATGGTGAGACAGGAAATGGGGTATCCGACTTCCAAGAAAACAGCGCGTGTCGAGTGGTACATACAAACTGTTCGAAGACAGGCAAGTACGCTGATGACCAGTGTTGAAGATCACAACCATGAAGTTTTGCATGATTTACATTGCTTGCGAGCATGGTCATTGGTACATGCCGTATTCCTCCTCAACAGATTCCATGAGCATTCAGCAATCAAAGCAACAGCCTTCGAAACAGTTTTTGGAAGACAGTACAATGGTAAGTTGTTGCCTTTTGGTGAATTTGCTTTTGGATTGAGAAAGCCAATGAAGAAAACTGGAACAAGTGTTTGGCAAGGAGGAATTTGGATTGGGAAAGATGAGTCGGACATGTGTTGATCACACCCGGTGGACAATTCCATACTCGTTCAATCAGGAGGTGCTCAAATCCGTGGAGAGCTGACGTGATCAAAGCAATCACGATGACACCTTGGACAAAGGCAAAGGGCCCAGGACAGGTTGGATTGTTGGAAGCCCCCTTGCCGGTGATTGAAGAACGAGGTGAAGGCGAAGAACCCCGTGAACCAATTCTGTTGAGAACTGGAGGGATTGACGAGGAGGCGGAAGAAGTCAGGGATCAGGAATCCTATACACCCACAGAGGTTGGAAGTCCACCAGCTGAACCAAGTGCATTGGTGGAGGAGCCTTTGGAGAGGTTGACGGAGGTGCAGCGGAAGAGTTTGTTGGGAATCCCAATTATTCCTGGCACACCTACGAGGTCAGCTGAAACTGAGGTGGATCAAGAAGGAGTTCCTGCAGAAAAGCGAGAAGGAGCTGAATTGGAGGAAAGCCGCGAGACCAAGGCGGCGCGTCATGACAGAGTTGAAAGCCCTCAAGGAAGCCCAAAACATGGTTTGTACACACCATTGTTTGCAGGCAACGTTGAAAGCATTGACAATCCACACGGTGACATTTGTTGGGAGCAAGACATTGATTGGGAAATGTTGGATGAAGAGTTGGAAGACATGGACATTGATTTTCATGGTGAGAGGTCGCCAGATGCGACACCTGAGGAGCTTCAACAGATTGATGGTGAGGCAATGAAAGCTGAAGTCGAGAAGCTCACCAGTTTGGGTGTCGTGAAGACCATCGACGAAACAGAGATGGCTGCTGAAGGAAAATTCATAGATTTGAAGGAGGTTTTTGATTGGAGGTTTAGGGATGGCCAGTGGAAGCGTCGGTGTCGTATTGTTGCAAGAGAGTTCAAGACGGGGCCATCAACAGAGGAGACCTTTTCTCCTACCTCCTCACATTCTGTTGTGAAGTTTTTCCTTTTCTGTCATTTGTTCTTTGGTTGGAAGGTTGCAAGCATTGACATTTCGGATGCTTATCTGACAGTCAAGCAGCAGGAGATTTGCTATGTGAAGATTTCAAGTTGGATTAAGAATCTCCTACGGTTGCCAGAGAGTTCAATGTGGCAGCTGTGCAAAGTTCTCCCAGGACAACGAAACGGTGCCCAAAGATGGTTTCAAGATTTCACGGCAGTGTTGAAAAGTTTGGGTTTCAGCCAATGTGTGGCCATGCCTTCGGTTTTGAGGCATCGAACACGTCGAGTTGTGTTGAACGTGCATGTGGATGATGAGTTGATAGCAGCAGAACAAGCCAGTGACATTGAATGGCTGGTACAAGAACTCCAGAAGATTTACACGCTGCAAGTGGAAGGACCTGTACCCCGTGAGCCTTTAGGATCAGGAGAAGAGCTGAACTACCCGAAGAAGGTGTACGTTTTTGCAGAAGATGGGGTGTACATCAAGTCGAATCCAAAACATGTTGAGAGCTTGCTTAGGTTGTATGAGTTGGATGGAAGGAAAGAGAAGCAGGTTCCAGAGCATTGTTTATTGGGACAACCAGATACATCCCCAGAGCTTGATTCGAAGCGTCAGGCAATTTTTCGGAGTGGACTCGGCATTGCTATGTACATGTCGCATGATCGTTGTGACATCCACCAGTATTGTGTGAAGACACTAGCTTCATCCATGAAGACGCCAACAGAGCATGCTGAGAGGTGTTTGATTGAGTTGATTTTGTATCTAAACCGTACACAAGGGTTTGCATTCAAACTACCCTACACTCCGGTTGGTACAAGGTTGGCTAGCAAGTTGAACAATGCACCAGAGTTGGATCAAGATGACAACATCCATGTCATGGAGGTGTTCTGTGATAGTGACTGGGCTGGAAGCCTTTACAGGAAGTCTACGACCTCAGTGATGATTTTGTTGAATGGTCTTTTGCCTTTGTCGTATAGCAGGACACAGAAAGCAGTAGCATTATCCTCGTGTGAAGCTGAAGTGCTAGCATTGACATCAGGAGTCAGTGAAGCGATCTTGCTGCAGAAGGTTTGGAAGTTCATGTTGGAACAAGAAGTTCTTTTGGAGGCAAGGAGCGATTCATCGTCGGGTCGACAATGGTTGCAGAGGTCAGGCTTGGGTCGACTGAAGCATATCGATGTTCGACTGTGTTGGCTGCGAGAAGCAATTCGTGGTCATTTGGTGAAAGCATTGCCAGTTCCAACGCAGACAAATGTTTCAGACCTCAACACCAAGAAACTCACTTCGCTGCGACGAAAGTTCCTTTTGTCATTTTTGGGAGCAACAAGATTGGATGAACATAACAGCGTTGTTGAAGTGATTGGTGAACACGAACAGGTGAACTATTTTGCAGAGTTGGCATGGAAGCAACAAGTTCGACAAGTGAACAGATGGTTGAAGAACAAAGCAACACGACATTTGGTACAATTTCATTGTTCGTTCAGGCCATGAGCTTGAAAGGTTGTGTGGAAGATGAATCTCATCCAGGCGGCGAACCATTGAGTCGGCAGCAGTTCATGATGACAGTTCTCATTCTCATTTTGGCTTGGTTGTGCAATTGGGTGTGCAACAACTGGGATGAGTTGACAAGACGGTTCGGTCCCCGCGGCCGGAAGAGAAAGGGAAATCGGCCAGTTGATGTAGAGGAGCCAGAGCCTGAAAGGGATCGAGAAGCAAGAGGAAGTGATGATCCAGATGCAGTGTCGGAGGCACCAACGGCCATTTCACCACGGCCACCGCAATTCCCTCCGATGCCCATCGATCCTCCAGCACGATGGGATGTTTGGTCACCAGAGTGGTTTACATATTGGATGTTGGGAAGTTTTCAAAGGAGAATTGATCGGAGAGGCGCAAGGATGAGTGAAGAAGAGCAGAAAAAGTATTCCAAAAGACGAGAGATCTTGCAATCGGTGTTGAGCATTCTTGAACAACGACCGGGTGAAGTTGCCCGGAGGCGAGCTCACAATTTTTGCAGATCAATGACAGATCTTTCTGTGGATGAAGAGACTGAAGGTGGAGAAGAAGTGCCAGAGTTGGAAGAGCCCGAAGCAGAGAATGAAAGAGTGATAGGATTGTAGAAGAGAGTGACGCAAGAGATGGTTATTTTTCTTCGAGCAATTTGCCTGGAAGGAATTTTGGGAGCAGTTCGTCGAGCGCTTTTCCAGTGACAGGTGCAAGTGCAAGCGCAATCTCGAGGCCAGATCGGGATATGGAGGCACTTGAAGAACATGAAGAAGAGGACGAATTGGAAAGTGATCCAGAGAGTGAAGACACTCGTGTGGCAAGGTACTTGCATAGTACATTGAGCGAGGTATCTGACCCAGAAACATGGATGAATTTGCACCATTGGTCAGAGTCAGAAGACAGTGGTGAAGAGCAAAGACCTCGCGGTTCCACAGACAATTAGATTTCAGTGGACAAAGCGATTTGAGATTTTCAGATTTGAATTTTGCAATGCAGCAATACAATACAATTTGCATGGTTGGTTTGAAACCTACGAAGCAACACACGTGCAACAGCTGAACCACGTGTTGTTAAGCACTACGAAGAGTACTGGTGAACCAACTGAACCACCAGTTACTACATTGAATTTACAAAGAATTATGTCGAAATAGCATTGAAACAATGCCAGAACGGACCAGGGTGCAGAAGGTTGGATGGCCTTTCCTAAGCTGCTTACACGAAGCAGAATCCAACTTAGTGGCGAAGAGAACAAAATGTTCCTTGTACGTCTCATTTTGAGGCGGCGTGTCACTTTATTTCGGTTCACTGATGTGTACATGAGATTGTAAAGTGTAGTATCTGTTCTTATCTTACTTCGCCGCGTAGCGCTGGGTTCAAAAGAGTTGAGCTACCAAACAAAGAAGGTGCCCCATCGTCAGTTTCCCGTGTATACAAGACAGTTCTTGTTAGCCAATCGTGAGACCTTGGTGCAAACTTTGAGCAAACACACCGGGAAGTAGATTGTGGCAGTCGGAAGTGCTGCAGATGTTGTTGCTGGTGGTGGTGATGGTGCTGCTGCTGCTGCTGCTGTTTCTTGACGCAACAAAATTTGGAGGCAGCTGAATTGAGTCACGGTTTTCGAGGTGATTATCGTGTTTGCGAAACACACCTTGTGATTGCTTGTGCTCGGCTCAATCAGCTATGTGTGAGGTAGAGGGGGGTTTTGGACCCGTGCCGTCAGTTTCTCAGGCGGTTTGAGTTGGCCAGAATTGCCTGGAGGGTTCGACATATTGACCTTAGTACTGCATTATGGTTTTAGACACAAGTGCTCCGAATCTGAGGCCAGGCGCGATTGCAGATGGCAGGGCGCATAGTTTGAGAAGTTGAATGGCCAGCATTCTAGCTAAAATCATCGTTCGAGTGCGATTCATCCAAGGTGGCATTCGCAAAGGCCTGCCCAAGCGCAGAGTGCAGCCAACGTTTTTTGCAGCGCCCACGGCTGTCATGACAGGTCCCGAAGATGGAGAGTCTGGGACCTTTTCAAACGCCCATCAATAGTCGCAACACAACAGTCGTGAATTCAGAAGCAACCCCTTGATCATGACATAGCTGCATTTTTCTGATATTCTTGAATGCTGAGGCCACCTGAAGAAGGGCTTGCTCATATTCAGTTCTGCTTGGCATGTTTTGTAGACTTGTGGAACATTTGATGGCTCAGCGAGCACACATCAGGCTGCCCGTGAAGTCCGCTTTGGACTTAAAACAAGAGAGGCATTCTGCTTTTATGGAACAATCGTGGACAAAAACCTGAGACCTGGTGTTCACCTGCATCGGGCAGGCTCGTCGGCACTGTGACGAAGTACCTGCCAGTCAGTGGTTATGGCATGGTCAAGAGTCAGCCTTGGCTTAAGATTGCTGACAAATTCTCACCCATGAACAACTTCCCTTTGTGCCTTGACACTGCCACCGTGTGCTCGAAAGATGAATGCAGGAATAACTTTGAAAGTCTTTATCATCCCAACATGCCAGGTCACATGTTTGAGGGCGAGCTGACATTCAGGATAGATCGTGTCATGCCTGAATTTCAAGCATCGGGCCAAGTGTCGCCGTCGACCAGACTTGTGCATGCTTGGTCGTTTTTTAGCTGCATGCTGAGGCTCATCCCCTACATGAAAACGAAGGGGTAGAGTAATTCTCTCAGTAGATGTCTGGCAGATTCTGGCTGCATTACTTGCGCATGACTTTGTCTTCCTTGAAAACCAAGGTTTGACGTTCAAGCTGATGAAACGGGCAAACCGGTGGCAGTAGCAGTGAAACCTGTCCTTGGGCGAAAGCTGCAAGCTTAGCAAACAAACATCCAATCTTTGCCCGCTTTGTGAACGTTGCTGCAACGACAAGGCCCTATGACGTCTTGGGACAGAGACATAGAGGCTATGTCAGACGGTTTGCAGAACGTTCCTTCCCAAGCTCGAGCAAGAAGGTTTGAGAAACAAGTTGAGATCAGAAAGGAAAGGATAGTCAGGCTGTAAGATTCCTATTGTTCATGGTTGAACATGTGACTGTCCTTTGAGCATTTGTCTCACCAGCAGAGCACTTCAAGGTTGGGGATTTCTTAATGCTGCAGCCTTTGATGGTGATCTCTTTGTCCACCGTGATAACCTTCTACTTGAGTTGGCTTCTCAGAATCTGTGGGTGAGGTGTCAATGCGTATGGTGGTGTGTGGATTTTCTCTCCCTTTCTTTCAGAAGTGCTTGACTGCAGTTGCTCTTTCGACCAACAATTTCAGCTTTGCTTCAAACGTCAGGCCTGGAACGGAGACTGGTGCCGATGGGCAGCCCATTCTTCGAACAGTGCGCCACAGCAGAGAAACGCAACTTGTATAAATGTCAAAGCCTCCTAGTCCTAGTCCACTACCCACTACCATCAATATGGAAGATTGCAATGTGGTTTTAATGTATGGTTGGTGATGATATGCTTTCACCTTGCCACCAGTCTTGAGAACTTGCAACGCGGAAACAGCATATATACCCATAAGCAGAGGAGCAGTTCCATGTTGGTGCAGGGTCAAGTGGTTGAGTTTGACGTGGCCCTGGATGATCGTGGAAGGGCAGCTGGCGCCTCAGGATCAGTCGGACCACGCCCACGCCTTTACTTTGAAGTGATTCTCAGTCGATTTTGGGATCATGTCCGCGTCGCTGTCAGGGTTGTAGCCGCGGCAAACAAATCACGCCATCTTGAGGTAGCCAAACAAATCACCACACGTGCACTTCTGCGTCCTGGTGACTGGATCGGGCACAGGCATGGAGCGAGGAACGCTGAGTTCATTCAAAGTTCGGCCTCGCTGGTGTAGGTTGCGAGGATACATAAGATCTTTTCAAGGTGTGCCGAACTTAGAGATCACAGCTAGCAGCTGATCTGCAATGATGCAAAACTGTGCAAAGCCAACATATGCAATTCACAGATCACACACACACACACATGTCAACCACGAGCTGAGTCAACGAGGCTTGGGGTTTTATTAACTCCGATCGTTTTGCTGGAGATCTTTTCGTCCATCGCGATTCACTCTTAGCCAATGCCTCAGAACGTGACACTCTGGTCTTTTTCATACATCAAAAAGAAGCCCGGTTTCCAGGCCGCTTGCCAGAATGCTCAATTAGCAATCGGCACAGTCAGTATCTGAGTGGAGACTTGCTGCATGATAGGACTGAATTGTGGGTTCTTGCGTGTTCTTGTGCGTGCGTCTCCACTCGGCACAAAAAGGTCGTCGAATTCGACATAGAGCGGGATCACCATCGGAAGGGTGCGAAGAACCGCTTGGTTGCAAGGTCGGGCCCGGCTGGGCCGGGTTTGGCTGGTGATTTCAGTGATTTCACGAAGCTTCGAAGTTCATAAACATAATAAACATCCTTCCAAATGGCAGGAATGTTTCTGTTCTTCCTGGTGAGGCACGCTGTGACGGTGTGTCTATCTTTGCACAGTTGCAATTGAACCTTGAACCGTATTATATTGGGGACATTTGTGGCAATGTTGATGCTCCCACACCTATGCTGAAAATGCGTATATAATAGTTTCTGGGTTCTCACCTGCAAAAAGGCTCCAGTTCAGCTGCTGTGACCTCAGCTTGATCCAAGCCTTGTGAAAAGTCAAGGAACCAACTGAATAGAAGCGTGAGCTATCCATCATCCACTTACTATATAGTAGCGGGCAACTCGCCCTTAAACCAGTTAAGGGCTCGGCAAAAAAAAGACTTGTACCGAGCCTCTACCGAGGCCACCCCTCATCCCCGGGCAGCACCCGGTGCCCCTGGATCCGGCTGCTGCGCCGTTTGGGGCGCCCGGCACTCCGCATGGTGCGGAGGCACGCGACACCTTCGTCCGTCGTTCAACAGGCGTCAAGGGGGGGTGTCACCCGTCACCCAAGTCGGGGTGGTCACAGGACATGGGATTGATATGGATTGATCAAAAGCATGAAACCTGATGCCAAATTGGGAAGGGGCGATATTTTCTTGATTGAGCGCCACCCTGATATATCAGTTTTGTACTTGTTTACACATATTGTTTGCATTAATGCGCTCTGCATTGTGCGCTCTGTGCAGGGCATGTGGCTGACGCGCTATCTTGCACGACACTAAAGCCAAAAGAGATAAGACTTGAGCAGCCAGCTTTTGCACACTCTGACATTGGTTTTCAGTTAATCTATTCCCAAGTGGAAAAAGGTGAGGGAACGGAAAGGTGCATGAGTCCGCAAAACAGTATTGTTTAACAGAAGGTTACGCGTGATCCGCAAAACAGTATTGTTTCACAGAAGGTTACGCGTGACTGCAGAACACTAGTTACTGAATACTTGGCAGACCTAGGAAAGGAAAGAGTGAACCGAAAGGCGACAAGTCCGAGTACTTGAAGGTGTTTTAACAAAGGTTGACGCGTGACTGCAGAAAACTAGTTACTGATTGACTGAATTCACGCCGTGCAAGGAAACCGGTTTTGAAACCAATGGAGTCATTGCGTTTGATGCAGGTACACAGTGGAGCGTCCTCGACTGCTTCAGCACCAACCGATACCCTCTTCGTTGGACGGGCAGTATCGGTGGTGACCCGTCCCCCTGCGTATTAAAACTCTTGGAAACAGAGTGTGGCACACACACACACACACCTATTTTTATATATATATATATATTTATCTACAGTTTTTACTCTTTTTGTTTATTCTATATTTGGGGGACAAAGCTCGTAAGGCAATATGTTTGAAAGCAAGCCGAAATGCTTCACTGTTTCAAGTTGCTGGAATTGAAGCTCCCGTGGATAACTAAAATGTCACAGCGGGCTTCAAGAGGTCAGGCTGAAGATCTTCTATAGGTGGCTGCCAAGGGGTGTTGGCCAGTCGTGCCTGAAAAGGTGGCTGGCTGATGATGCAACTGTGTGGTGTAAGCTCGTTAGTGTGATGGTTACAAAGTTAGCAGCTGCCGGGCGGTGCCACACTTGTCAATTCGTGTGATTGGCGAGAGGAGTATGTACTGAAGGTCTTTTGCCGAATGCTTAACCTGGAACTTAACATTGGGATCCATCATCGCTGCGGATGCGGATTCTCCAAATTGGCGCAAACTCACAATATTTCCACCAGACCAAACCCAGTAGAATCAGTTCCAGTGAGCAGATTTGCCACCAGGTCATGGGCCTTCATGAGTGGCTAGAACGTAGGTTTTTGGGTTTCAAGTTTCATTTTGGTTGTTTACCTGAGCGTACAGGATCCACTTCCCTTTTGGGTGTTTTCTTCCATTGACCGATGGCTTTGGTTGCACAAGTCTCGGCCAAGCTGCATTTTTTGAAGATCATTTAAGAGTCAAAAGCCAAGAGCTCTGGCTGTAGGGGTCCATTTAGCACAACCATGCCCCTTCAGCACCATGCGAAATGGCTGACTCTGCTTTGGAAGGCTCAGCAGGCATCCTCGATGTACTACCAGGCTCACAGCACGCTGTCAGAATGCTTTTGCCATTTGTGGTATTGCGCACTGCGATTGTTTGACGTGCAATGGTCAGCGATCTGCTGACAGCATCACCTGTGTTTCGAGATAGCTGAACCCAGACCGAACGCAAAAATTGCTGTATTTTCTGTGTCGAATTGGTGCTGGGAAGCTACTTTGCCCAGGTCCAAGAAGACTGGACACTACACCCCCTTATATAAGACCGTGAAGGTTGAAACTCCTCAACGTCTCATCGTCCAATTGGGCAAGATGTCAGGTTCAACCCCACAGTTTTCTTTACCAAACCAATTTTTCTGTGGTCAGGTGGATGATACTTTCCTTTCTACTTGCTTATAACAATTCCAAGATCTACCCTAGAATTCCCGAGCATGTGGCAATGCAGTTTTGGAGATGCCGCTAATGCCACTACTGTCTTTAAGCATTTGCAGCATTACAAACCATGTAATGACCCTTATGTATTGTGATATGTGTGTGCGTGGTAAGGGCGCTTATGGTTATGTTTTCGCCACGAAGCGCATTGCATGAGGCGCCTCCAGTGCAAGATCCAGCTCTTAGCTACGGCCTTTGCCCCAAAAAATTGCCAAAACGAGTAGCTTTCAGTTTTGGCTTTTGCAAGGCGTACCGCCATATACCTACCCTCCGCCAACTCAAACACCGCAAACACCTCAAGGGCAACAAACTTATTCCTATCCGTGCTTGACTCAGCTTGCAGAACACACCATGGTGAAATGAGCAAAACTTTGTGAGGAAGTTCTTGCGCAGCCTGAGGCCACAGTCTCCTTACTATTCTTCATATGCTCCCTATGCTCCTTATGGAGTGCCATATGGACTGATCATTCCCATTTTCTTCGCAGACTTTGGTGATGAACAGACTGTGTCAGGACAGCCTCCCTATGGCAACACGCCTTATCCGCCCTATGGGTGCCATACTCAGCCAATAGAGTTCTTCCAACACCCTACCAATGCCCTACCAACACCGCCGCAGCTTGAGCACTCAGGGGCAATCCATATGGGCAGTATGGGCCCGATCCTGAGAGGTTCACGTCATTTCGCTTTCCTTTTGAACTTCTCCAGGGCCTATGGGCCACATGGAGGCTTAGCCAGGGCCCAAGGGTCGAGCCTGGGAGCTCACATTGGTTTGGTGCTGCATTTGGTTCAATGTTTTTGGATGGCCTTGAACATACCTGTTCCAGGCTTACCCAGAGTCAGGGGATGCTGGTGCCAGTGAGGCAGGTACTGAAGAGAAGGCGCCTGCGAAAGGCATCAGGCATCATGATGTGTGCGTGTTTTCACGCTTGGAAAGACATGAAGCCAAACCACAAGAGGCGATGTTTGCGGAAGCCGCTGGTGCTGTCCCAAAGGCCAGCACCCTTGAGTGGCCTTTAGGTGGCAACATCCCTGCATGGCATGTGCGACGTTCAGAGTTTGTGGTATGTCAAGTCAACTTCCGTAGTGCCCGTATTGCAATCGTGACCCTATTGACTGGGTTATATACACAATCCAGCCTCTTTGAGCGCATACCTTGTAGAAACTGACCATTTTTGCGTTGTTCGCCAGCAAAGTGTTCGCTTCTATGCTCCTTTCCTTTCAAGTGGTTTTGTGAAGTTGATGCCTGCTTTGCTTCCTCTGTCTGGAAGAATCTCCTACGGAGCCTTATACATCTGTATATACACATAGGATTCTCTCAAAAGCATTCTTTCTCCTCAGAGTAAATAACACGCCCGAGCTTGATTAGCGCTGTCAACTGTGAAAGTTATATAAGATATTGTCAACTGTGAAAGTGACAGATATCACTGCTATTCCGACGATGATCGACGAACTTGGGAGACATTGTGCGCCTGAAACACCTTGTGGGAACAGTTCATTGACTCTTCCCTTGAATCAATGGCTTTTTCAGGTGGCAGATGGAGTACCGGCCATCGCTCCTCAGACCAACGGTGAAGAGAGACCAGCACCGGCACCGGTCGCCACCGCTGCGCCTGGTGCTGCGACCGCGCCGTCGCCGCCGACGGCGCCCCCCGGTGCTACGGCAGCGACGCCTCCGGCTGCCACGCCCGCTGTGGCAACCAGTGGAGCAGCTCGACGCTCAGAAACTGGATGACTTAGTGGCTGAAAACGTTTTGCAGATGAAGTAGTGGCTGCCAGTGGCTCCCAAAGAAGGCCAATGGTGCCAATTCTTTTCCAAAGATAGCTTGTCAGTTGGTAGACCCTGTTGACAGACAGCGCGGGGGTGCAGTTGAACGAAGTTGATCAATTTAAAGACAGCTTTCCTTCACTTTCTGACCCAGCTGCTTCCGTGCGCGGAGGCCCAAGAATATCAGGCTCCGACAGCTCCAGGGCTGTCAGAGCCCCGAGCTGCTGTGTCTCTGTAGCTTTGGATTTTTGTCTTGGAAGTTTGGTTATTGTCCAAAGTCTGGTTCAAGCTCTCAGGCTACACATCACCATCCATGACTGGGAACCAGATCAGTGGGCGCACCAAAGACCGACTGTGTAGGGAAGATCGGAGACTTGATCGTGACTGAGGCCTGGGCAGCTCTTTGTCACCAAGGCGAGTGGAGGGATGTCACCAAGCATACTGCGATTGTGGTTCTTCAAATATACAGACTTTTGGCGTGGCCAGGGAACCTTGGTGAACATCTCATATCGAGCAGCTCACGGTTGGGTTTACGCAGGTCTGCCGCCTTGATGAGAATTGTTCATATTTCATGCTCTTTCCACTTGTGCATGCAAGTGATTCTCTGCCATTGAACAAAAGCGGTGGAAGTTAGCATTTTCCGAGTGCTTATGCAGAAGAACTTGCAGCAACTAGATTTGATGACTACATTGGAAGGGCTGATAGGATTTATAAACTTGCTCGATCTTGCTCGCAAAGAACTGGTATAAAATCAGATCTAGCTCAATTGACACCATTTTCTTCTCCTTCCGGTGAGGCTAGTGCAGGATTTCTTTAAATTCAAGGTCCTCAAGGTGGAGACTTTTCTCTGCCTCCCTTCACCCGTACGAGTAATAGAGACTGTGGCCGCCTGTGGCCCGTACTCTGATTCGCTTGTTCGTCGTTCGCCCAGGAACTGTGCAACCTGGAAGCGAATCAGCACCACCAGCCTCAGAGGGATGGATCCCACAGGTGAGTGAAGAAACGTGTGTCTATGTACAAGGAACCTATTTTTGTAGGTACAAAAGTAAACTAGACACATATATATATATATATGTATATACACATAGGTATATTTTAGGGTTTGTGGAATATCTATTTTTTTACAATTTGCAGAATGCTGGAAACAACAACCTAAACAAATGAAGCCCCTCAAGTTTCAAGGGTTCTAGGCATTTGGAGTTTCCCAAAAACACACAAATACCACAAACAATAGTATGTAGTGTTCTTAGTTTTGTGGAATACTAGAAAAAAAGAGCAACAACCCCCCAAGTCCCCAGGTTTCCTGGCAGTAAGAATGTCGAAAACAGCTGAACATTCTATAAAAAATTATGTTTCGTTCCTTGTGATAGTTTCTGCGGAATCATGGAAACGCCCCCCGAGCGTCTGGAAACCACATAAGTAGGCTATTTGGGGTGAGAGTGAGATCCCAAGGATTAAGTTTCTTCATGAGGAATCCCCAAGACGAAATCTCTTCTGACGAGAGATCTAAGAGACTAAATCGTTCATGTGGAAATGGAGAGGATTTTGGCCAATGAGGTCAGTCTGCGCAGCAAGTGTTGTATGCAATCAGGATGCCTTGTGTGTGACCCAGACAAGCTCAGATGGAAATGGATGAGGAGAGAAGATATGTTTTAGGAGTCAGTTTAAGAAGGAAAACACAACTTGAAATGAATATCGAACCATGGGATGAGGGATTGGTGAAATCGAAGGAGATGTCCTTTGCAGGAAATAAAGCTACCGAAGCATGCGCGCCAAACTAATTTTTTGGGCTGTTGGGCACCCAATTTTGGAACATGGTCAAGAGGTTTTTTCAGTTTTTTTTCCCAAAGGCGGCTAGTATTGCAGGAAAAAGTTGGGCCAATCTGTTCCTTAATCAGAGGTTTCCAATACAAAATAGAAAAGTTATATAAGTTTCTGCAACACCTTTAATTCTTTAGTTTTGCGGAATATCAGAATTCTAAACTTCCTAAACCTCTCAAATTTCCAGACTTCCTGGCATCTACATCTAGAATCTTTACGAACATTTTTTTGATCCCAGGCTTCTAATGCGCAACGCACTGCCTTATGGGAAGACATCCAATTAACAGTCAAAAACAAGGGTCGCGAGCATAGGCTCCAGCAGGACCTCTTTGATGCCCTGAGCCGCTCAGTGGGAAGGTCAAAACGGGCCTCAGCAATATCAAACCAGCCGTCAGCAGAACATGCGAGAACCGAAACAAAAACAGCGGGGTTTAGCTTTTTGCGGTATGTTTCGCTATTCAGCCTCTTTGGTTTTGGGGACAACAATTCAAAGAAAAACCAAAAAGAATCTAAATCAGGAGGGATTACCATTTTAGTTGTGAAGACAGGGTGTGCCGCACATACTTGGCCATTACATATTCGGTTTTGAGCTGTCAAATATTTGCAGGCGGTCGTCAAGCGTGTCAGCCTATGCCGTGTTGCTGTGGATTGGCCCGCAGAGGGGCAGGCAAGGACGAACATCTCTTTGTGGCAAGGACGAACAGGTAGGAAATCACTTGCACCCAATTGAGCTGGAAAGACATGACACTCACTCAATTGTAGCTTCAAATTGGCAAGGATGAATGCAATAATTAGCATCCCAGAGGTTCTTTTAGCCTTTATGCACTTGTGGTTGCGGTGGCTTGTGAAAATTAGACTGCACAAAGACGACAGCCACAAATCAATCGAAATGCGCCAAACCGTGCACTGAAGAAGTAAACCCGTGGTCTCCTCATCCATGCCCACACGCCAATGTGCCAACTTCAAACTGGATAAAACATTCGATTTGATTTTGGAAAGCAGGCTGAAGAGGGAGCCAAGTAAGCCAAGAAGAAAAGACATAAGTTGTCAGTAGCAAGGGCTCAGAAGTTTGAGGATGTCAGATGCAACCAGTTTTTCTGCAAGTTCTTGCAGGCGACGCTTGGCGTGACCAAGGGCGAGATCATTGCGGTTTCGAAAGAGGCGTGACGCCTCAAGAACAAAAGCGTGTACTGCGACCAATTCGAAAGCTGTTTGAGACCAAAAGAAACACCATGTTGCAACTAACATTCACACACTTAGGAAATGCGTACTGATTTGAATGCCACTCACCCCACGCCCACCTAGGTATGAACGCGTAAGGGTACCAGGAAAAAGGAAGTAAGCAAACCCTCCAAAGCTCCAACGATCACGAAATCGACGACAGGTTGACGGCGTACGTGCACATCTGCCGATGAAAAACCGCTGCAATGGCTGAAAGATTGTTCTAATTACAAGCAGGGACCAGAAAGAAACTTTAGCACTCGAGCAGGTACGTGCAGCTGATCAGGCTGCAGATCCTGAGGGCACCATAGAGAGCTTCGTTGGGCACAGCTCTATGAGCCTCCTGTGCCCCCCTGCTGAAAAAGACAACTTCGCAGGAAGCCCTATGATTCCAAGGGTTTCACACACACGCCTCCCGGTAAGAGGCCAGGTTACTAAGTGACAAACTAGCGCGCAAATGTGCGCCATGTTGAACAAAGAGATGAAGACATGAAAAGGAGGACGAGACAGGACAAAGGTGCGTGTGTGGTTGCGACGAAGGGAAACCTCATTGTCAAGACCTGGGCGACCTGAAACCTGGGTTAAAGGTAAGCTGTGCGCGTACATGCTAAGGGCCGGGCCGTTGTGTGCACAAAAGAAAGCAAGGAGTGAGATGACAGAACGTGAAGGCAGAAGGACATGAAAAGAAGAAGGGGAAAGGATGAAAAGAATGAAAAGGGAAACAAATGGAGGGGACGGAGGCCGACGAAGCCAGACCTCATTACGCCGACCTAGGTGGACCTGCCTGGTTTGAGTTGTACGCGCTGTGTGTGCATTTAAGGCTGCGACAGGTCGCAATGGACCTTGAAAAGCTTTGACCGCTTTGGTCACCTTGCGCATGCGTTTCCGAAGCAGTGGAAACAGAGACAAACTCCACCAGGAGAGACACACTTAGGAATTGCGTACTGATTTGAATGCCGCTCGCCACACGCCCACCTAGGTATGAGCGCGTAAGGGTACCAGGAAAAGGAAGTAAGCAAACCCTCCAAAGCTCCAACGATCACGAGATTGACGACAGGTTGACGGCGTATGTGCACATCTGCCGATGAAAATCCGCTGCAATGGCTGAAAGATTGTTCTAATTCCCTGCAGGGTCCATAGGGAAATAAACTTTAGCGCTCGAGCAGGTAGGTGCAGCTGATCAGGCTGCATATACTGAGGGCACCGTAGAGAGCTTCGTTGGGCACAGCTCTATGGGCCTCCTGCCCCCCCCTGCTGAAGAAAAACAACTTCGCAGGAAGCCCTATGATTCCAAGGGTTTCACACACACGCCTCCCGGTAAGGGAGGCCAGGTTACTAAGTGACAAACTAGCGCGCAAATGTGCGCCATGTTGAACAAAGAGATGAAGACATGAAAAGGAGGACGAGACAGGGCAAAGGTGCGTGTGGTTGCGACGAAGGGAAAACCAAGCGCACAGGGACAACCAATGAACCGAACCTCATTGTCAAGACCTGGGCGACCTGAAACCTGGGTTAAAGGTAAGCTGTGCACGTACATGCTAAGGGCCCGGCCGTTGTGTGCGCAAAAGAAAGCAAGGAGTGAGATGACAGAACATGAAGGCAGAAGGACATGAAGAGAAGGGGGAAAGGATAAGAAGGGAACCAAATCCAGGGGACGGAAGCCGACGAGGCGACCTGGGTGGACCTGCCTGGTTTGAGTTGTACGCGCTGTGTGTGCGTTTAAATCCCAATGGACCTTGAAAAGCTTCGACCGCTTTGGTCACCTTGCGCCCTGCCAAAATGGCTGGCTACTCTGACCGCTGCGGTCATCTAATGGCTTGCTCGAAAGCTGCCTACTAGTTGCTTACTTAGATTCAATAGTTCATCCAGTCTTGGCAAATGACTTTGGCTCAAGCCTACTCCGCCCGCTGTGGGCACGTGCGTTTCCGAAGCAGTGGAAATAGAGACAAACCCCCGTTCGACGGGGCCACAGGGGAAACTCCTCGGGTACAACCTGGGCTCTCACCAGGAGAGACACGCTTAGGCAATGCGTACTGATTTGAATGCCATTTGCCACACGCCCACCTAGGTATGAGCGCGTAAGGGTACCAGGAAAAGGAAGTAAGCAAACCCTCCAAAGCTCCAACGATCACGAAATCGACGACAGGTTGATGGCGCGCGCGCACATCTGCCGAGGAAGAACTGCTGCAATGGCTGAAAGATTGTTCTAATTACAGGCTTTGGCACTCGAGCAGGTTCGTGCAGCGGATCAGGCTGCATATCCTGAGGGCACCATAGAGAGCTTCGTTGGGCACAGCCCTATGGGCCTCCTGTGCCCCCTGCTGAATAACAACTTCGAAGGAAACCCTATGATTCCAAGGGTTTCGTGCGCATGCACGTTGCAGAGGTAGAGGATGTAAGCAAAGCAGCCATTATTGGTAGACGTTACTTGCATCATGTATGTATATCACTAGACGCGCGTAATTTGAACGCTCAGGCTCTCATCCGGCTCAACCACAGCAAACACTTTGCGATCGCCGCAGCATCTTTTGCCATTGGTAGCTTAAATAAGACCTCTGTCACTTGTTACCCTGCCACGATGTAGTATCGTTGGTGATGCCCGTCAGCGCACGTATACGCAAAGAGCCTGCAGTACAATGTGCTCCCCGTAGCTGGCCTTCATACAGGTGCAAATCATGATCAATTGCAATCAGATGCCAGGTAGTCTCAGAGATCAAGAAACATCGCCTGCTAGTGAACTAGAATGAATACCTCAAAGTAGAGAATGTAAGCTGTGCGAGTAGAGTTTGTGGTCACTTAAATGGTTTGCTTTCTTTGGAGTCCCCCATTGCACTCCAGACGTGCAGCTCGTTGTCAAGCTATTTGTTCGTTTGTCCATTGGTTCTTGTTAGTGAGTAATGTTTTGTGTTGTGATTGAACATGTCGCCAGTGCATGTAGTTGGCTGGCGGCTGATAGAACGCCGCCAGCTTTTCTTCACTTTTTTGCTTTTTTGATGCTTCGTCGCCAGCTTTTCTTCACTGTTTTGCTTTTTTGGCACTTGCGTCATGAAGTTGATGCTACGTTGTGGATGGGGGTGGGGTTGGGTGGGGCATGTTAATGTTCGCTGGCACTTAACGTCATGAAGTTGATGCTACGTTCGGGATGGGGGTGGGGTTGGGTGGGGCATGTTCACGTTTACTGGCACTTACGTCATGAAGTTGATGCTACATTGGGGATGGGGGTGGGGTTGGGTGAGGCATGTTAACTTTCGCTGGCGCTTACGTCGTGAAGTGGATGCTGTGTTGGGGATGGGGGTGGGGTTGGGTGGGGCATGTTAACGTTCGCTG